AAATGCTGCTCACATTTCAGAAGTGTTTTATAGGCAGAACGCTGATATAAAAGTACAATCTACTCCTGCAGTGATAGTTGTGTTCATGTATTTTGTTGCATTTTTTTTGTAGCATGCTTATTTAAATCTAAAATGAAGTGCTATAATTGGACCACAGGAAACATACAGGGATTAGGAATGCATGCATGTCGATGACACTTCACCATATTCCCACCGATTGGCTAAATGAGCCACAAATATGTTTAGTCTTATTAAAGCAGATGTATTACATTCCAAATCTCTCTGTAAATAGATGAGATTTAATGTTTGTTGTTACACCACTCTCATAATTTGAACCTAATTTGGGCATGGTCCCTTTCTGCTCGCTGTTGCTCTTGGTTTCAGCACTAGATAGACGCTGAACCAGTGTTTCTGACAGCACTGAATTTCAACATCCTGTCAGGGTGCCTAAAACAACCGATTTATTTATCAGATCTTGGGATTAACTGCTTGTCTGGCTTTTGTAATGCATTTTAAATTTCTGCTTACTGATCTTTTTTTTGGATGCTTCAACATCTGTGAGCTATTTAACTTTTCTGTAAAAGTTCTGCCCAGTGTTTTCTGTTTTACTTAAAAATGGACAACTACTTTTACAATAAAGCATAGTTAAGATGCCTCACATTTCTCTCATTGCTTTTTTTCATCTGGTCCTTTCAGTTCATAGTCCCTTATTATCTTTGGCTTGTTTCAGCAAAGCCAACATTGCAGTACAATGACTGAGCGAGTAGTCCAGGCCTGGAAAAGTCATGGGGATTTCTGCAGCGAATGTAGATTCCTCTGAGACTCTGAAATATGGCCTTTCAAATGTCTGTTTGCTTGTTTGTCTATTTATTAGTCTTTATAGAGACTTGTACAATTGTTTAAATAGATGTTATCCGTCATGCACATGAACATCCTATCACGGCAATTTCTATAAAAGGATTTAAAAACACTTATGAAGTAAACAAGAAAAAGACTGGAAGAGTAGTGGAAATGCTTTGCAAAAAAAATAAAGGTATAACACAGAATGAAGGCCTGGAGGTATGAATAGTTTCACTCATAAGTAGGATTTACAATATAAATAATTTAATAAAAACAAACAACCCAGAATGTAAATCTTGTATAGATAATGAATATATTAATGGGTTTGTGTAACCAATTCAAATAGGCTTT